CGATTTGTAAAAATGTAAATGCGATGTCAATCTTTACCTTCTGTCATTTTGAACCCTGTTCTTTTAATGACTTCCCGTTTTTTGTCCCCCGTTGCTTCCTAATCGCTTTTATTAGATTGTTTTGGTGCTTCTTGTTAAGGCTCTGAATCGCCGATCACGGAACATTAAAACACTTGGAAAATTTTGTATTTTTACGCATCAACTATCTTCAGTCGGAACTCCTCGTCAATTATAACCGTCTTCGCCATGGCTGCAAAATCAACGATGGATCGAGATATGTGGCGTTCTTCAGAACCTTCTTGAATGTTGCTGCCAACCACGTCATGTTGAAACATCGATTCCCGTACGATCACTAAAGTTAAGCAACGTCAAGCCTGGTTAGGTGTGCTAGTGGTATAAGAGATAACAGCTCGGGATTGTTAATCGGAGAGCCGAGTTCGAATTCTGGTCGGGTTCTTTATTTTCACTTATACGCAAATACTCTTGGGAAAGGCATGAATCCACCTCTACTCCCTCCTAGCTATGCGTTAAATACTAAAACTTGTATCTTCTTCTTTATATGCCGTGTCCCTCAAGACGCTGCCAATCACGGCTCTCCACAATAACTCTCCTTAATAAATTTTATCTTTCTGCTATTTCTCCTAAACTCTGTTTCAACATCGATTTAACTCACTATGTTATGTGTAGTTTTCGTCTGTCTTTCTTGCCTTCATTTTGTCCTGTGAGTATCAGATCTTTCCTCATTATGTTCCCTAAAACTATTATTATTTAAAATAAATAGTCTTAAAATGTAAATGTATTTCATGGCTTTAAATACCTTTCAAGGGGTTGATAAACCGTAAAAAACAAATCAAACTATTGATAAATTTCTAGAATGTTATCGAATCAGATCAATGCGATTTCAATTTCAAACAGTAGTTGTATTAAATGTTAAATTAAGAAAAAAAAAAACATTATTATTGCCATAGAGTAAAGTTACCTCCTAAATCACATCATTTGTGGGACGATTAATTTTGGACTGTACCAACTTTTAAAAAGATTTATAACAATGAATGAATATATTAGAGCGAAACATGTAAAAATTCTTAAATTATTCAAAACTAAATACGAAATAAATTTGCTATGGCAAATTCAGTAAGTACTTGCAAATAATGCATTTGCATTTTTGTAGAAAATATACAAATATTTAGTGGGGCCAAATAATTCGGAAACACACTGAATATGTGTATGTATGTGTGCGTGTTCGCGCGCGTGTGAGTGTGCGTGTTCGCGCGCGCGTGTGTGTGTGCGTGTTCGCGCGCGCGTGTGTGTGTGCATGTTCGCGCGCGCGTGTGTGTGTGCGTGTTCGCGCGCGCGCTGTGTGTGTGTGTGCGTGCAGGTCATTGATAATTCCTTTACAGAAATGGTTCGATGGAAATTTCCTTCGTTTAATTATTTATATATTTTCTGACATTTTTTTTTTCTTTGTTTTATTTAATACGCCTTCTTGATTTTGCTCCGGGCAGAGCCAAATTGTTATCCTTCGGGCAAGGATTGAATAATATTAAGGAAGAGATGATTTTTCTGTTGTTTAATGGCCTGCTCATAATTCAAGGCACATTTCCATGATTATATGGAAATGATTAGTTGTAGCTATTTAAAAAAAAACAAAAAAAAAAAAACATATTTATGTTTTTGGAATGCTGCACATCCTCCCCTCCATATTCAGCTTTATAAATTCGATCCTTCCCTATGATAGATTAGTCAAAAAATAATCGATATTTTGTAAATATTGTATGCAACTTTAAGATAACGAGTTACCTGGGTTCATATATTCTAGTTCACTCCTTGTGTAGATGTTTTATTTGTCACTGAGTGCAAAGACATTGATACTTGTAAGTCCATTTGCATTTTCAAAATGTCAAAATACTTTCTTTTTTTCTTTTTTTTTAACTCATGGGAGTTTATAATATAAACTCAACGACTTTTCTCTTCATTAAAAATCAGCAATAGTTTGTTATTAAAACGATAGCCTGGTGAATTGAACATCAAATCGATAGAAAAAATCAATAGATTAATAAACATGAAAAGAATATCTGTTTATATCTCTGAGATTAGGTATTATAACCAGTTAAACTATTTACATTTCTCTGATTGTTCTCATCATTGTTTTCAGATTCACGATGTTTCGACAGTTGTCTACTCCTATAGAATGAAAACATCTCTGTCTATAAAAGGCAGGATGTGTGTGTGTGTGTGTGTGTGTGTGTAACGAATGCACGGCCGCAATTTTCGACGGATTTGCACCAAAATTTACATGCACATGCTCCAAGTTAGCAAAAGGCCAAGACCGACTTTGCATTTCCCAACTCCCATCGATAGTGGAAATAATCGATTTTTTCATGCTTCTACGGCAGTTTTCATGTAGTTTGCGGCCATTTTGTACTGGCCAGAGTGAGAGCCAATAGCTGGCTGCAACGAATAGGCAGGAAGATTCTATTGGCCATCGTGAAAGCCAACAGCTGACTGACACGAATGTTAACTAGCATGCTAGCATGCAAAAAAAAAATCGATAGTTGCATTCGTCACAAGTGGGAAAAATTTAAATCTGCATGGCATTTTACTTCAATTGGATCATTCGCTTGCTTAAACTCAACGTTGATTCTGATTCCGCAGAACTGGGTTGGGTGTGAAAAAGTATTTGTTGTTAACATTCTTTTTTCATTCGGTTTTTCCAGTTACGAGTCCTTTTTTAAAGCTGATCGTTTTGTGTTCATTTTGTTTAGTTCTTTTTTCGTAACCGATTTAATGTTTAGTATAGAGCTTAGAAAAAATTTGCAGTGTGAGATAGGCAAGAAGTAAGGCATGTAGCAACATCAGCACGGCAAAGGGCACTTCTTTAAAGGCAAGGAAGGGCAAAAATATTTTAAGTCAAGTGATAGCGATTGCTGTATGAGTCGTACGATTTTTGAATCAAGCACGGGCAACGCTGGGCCATGCTGCTAGCAGCAAATAAAATTCAAGAGTTTAGCCGGAGAAATTAGAAGTATAGAGTTGAAGTAGACTTTAGGTTTGATTTTGTTTGGTTTGTTTTACGGCATATCAACCTCAATGGGTTATTTAATGCCGACAAGATTTTCATTGCTAGTAATTTTTTTTTTTTCAAAAATGTATTGCTGCTAATTTTTTCTAGAAATGTATTACTGGTAATATTTTTTTTTAAAAAAAGAAAAGACTCCTCCAAAATGGAGCGTATGATGTATGCTGATGAAAATCCCCCGGAAAGGCAGCTGGCACGACATGGGCCGAGCTGAAGAGGTTCGACCAGAACCGGGTCCGTTGGGGAGGTGTTGTTGCGGCCCTATGTTCCCCAAGGAATCAAGAGGCATAATTATGATGATGGCTCTTCTATGTTAGCTCAAGGCATGTTGGAAGAAAGCGTCTTAAGATTTTTCCGCAGGAGGTTGCCAATTCATTATGCGGTAGACTGGTTACCAACCAAGGCTATAGAACCTAGTCTCTCCTGCTATTCAACCCATAGCTGGAGAATATTAGATGGATTTATACCTTTCCCAAGGGTATTTGCGCGTAAGTGAATATAAGAAACCCAACTGGAATTAGAAATCAGCTCCCTGAATAACAATTCCGAGCTATCGGACCCACTGAACATCCAAGCTTACAGCACCTGGTATTCCGAAACTGTCACCTATTTACATAATGACAAGGCTCAACGTTGCTTAACTTCGCTGATCGTATGGTAACGGTGTTTCAACATGATGCGCCTGTAAACCACTAAATGTTCTTTATTTACACTAATTTGCAAAAATATTCTTTCTTTTTATGTGCCATGTTCTTTCAGGACGTAGGCGATCATGGCTCTCCACTCCTCCCTCTATCCAGTTCTCAATGAACTCGATAGGAATTCGAACTCGGCTCTCCGGTTTCTAATCCGGAGCCGATATCTATTACACCACAACGCAGAAAGAGGCCCACAAAGAGCCTGTAGCGCCAACATGAAATAATAGTGTATATACTGTACAAAAATGAATGCTTCAAAAACACTCTGCTGCTGTCGGCTACTGCGGAAAGTTGTAATCTACATCCGGCGATGACCTCATAGCCGTTCAAGTGAGCTGATGGCGGTTGATTAAAGACTGTACTGGACCGTGAGAGTTGCTGGACCACAGCCACCTGAGCTTCGTCTTCACACGAGATTATCGGTATTTTTTTAAAAATACATTTTTTTAATCAATTCAACTGAAGCAAGGCGAAGATAGGTCGAAGAGGCAAGTATCTACTGAGAGTGACACAGTATGACATGACTTTAGGAGGAATCGGAAACTAAACAATAGATAAACCTCTGTTGCTTATCAAACGACGGGGAAGGTATAGAGATCGGACGATAGGAGAACACATCTACTCATATATAAGGAAAAAATATAGTAAATACATGTTCAGTTTAGCCGGGTACGTTAGAGGTATAAGCCAAAGAAGACATTAAAAGAAGTGGGAAACCCAATCCTAAACAGGAAACAAGGTTTAAACTTCTACTTCTGTTAAAAAGATCAGGGAGGATTGTGATCCGGGCGATACTTTTTCCCGGATTTCTGAACAAGAGCTTATCCCTTGTTTCATGTTTAAGATGGATATACTTTTAAATAAATAGAATGGACGCATTTTTAAGAGTAAATGCTAATAACCTAGTTGAATATTCGTCAATTCGAAACTCACTGTGTGCCTATCATTTAGCCTTGTGCCAGACTATTTCAAAATATCTATATATGGTGTCAGACAGGATACCTTTCCGCAATCTAATTATTGGGGAGGAAGTATAACAGGACATTATTCGTTTGTAGAATGTTCGATCCTCATAGGACGCATTTGATTTTGTGAAAAATTAATATCAAATTAAAATTCAGGTCGGATTGATTAATTCATTCGCTTGCTTACTCTCGTAAGTTGATTGAGAAATAGGGAAAAATTAAAATGAAATAATATTAATAATATTCTAATCCCAATTTAGCCTTTAAACACCACTTTCTGTACGATTATCGAAGTTAAGTAACATCGAGTCTGATCAGTACTTAGTTGGGTGACCCCTGGGGAATACCTGGTGTTGTAAGCGTGGATGTGCGGATAGTGTAATGTATAAAGGCACGGAATTGTTAAGCAGAGGGACGGGTTCAAATTCCCGCTGTGTTCGTTACATTCGCTTAATCCGCCTCTCCTCCCCCAGCTATGGGTTTATTAGTAAAACTTGTATCCTTAAATCATCACTATCTTCCCTAAAATTCTTACAATCTAAAAATATTTCCTGGCTTTAAATAACCTTGTTTGATTTGTTTTACGGCATTGGATAAATAACCTGCAAAAGGTTGAGAAACCGTAAAAAACAAAGCAATCAAAATCAAATTTGAAAAAAATGAAAAGGCTCAAAGCTACAGAGATGTGGATCTACAGAGATATGGATCTACAGAAGGATCCTGAGAATGCGATGGACTGAACGTGTGAATTAAAGGAAAAAGGGAACTATAAGGATTCCTGCATTTAAAATCAAAAGCAAACAATAGAAATTTCATAATGAGGAAAGAAGGCTCGGAGAATATAACATTCTCTCTTCATAATGAAGACAGTAGGAGAATAGGAAAACTTCTTATAACATGTATAACGAGTTTGTGTGACAGGTTAACAGTGTGGGGACAAAGATATATGGTAAAGAGTCAAATATTGCTTAGAGTTACAAGGGACTGGATATAGCCGAAAGATGTAATAGGCCTTATTCTGGAAAGATACAGCACATAGTTATAGTAGTTAAAGTAGTAGTAATAGAAATAGTAGTAGTAGTATTAGTAGTATTAGGAGAAGAAGAAGAAGAAGAAGAAGAAGAAGAAGAAGAAGAAGAAGTAGAAAAAGAAGTGGATATCGTCACAAAAAACAATATCATTGGTACAATCTGGTATCGTAACAATTAGCAATTGAAAACTGTTACCTCTATTGTCAACCTTGACAGGAACTAATAGAAAATCATTTTATATTTGTCATTCGGTTTTGTTCATTCTGTTTCTCTCTCTCTCTCTTTGTCTATCTATCTATCTTTTCTACTCTGATTTTATCTCTCTACCTTTCTCTCTCTCTCTATGTTCTTTATTCTTTTCGCCTTCTTTATCTCGCTATGTCTCCCTCTCTCTCTCTCTCTGCCTTTTCTCTCTATATATACTCTTCTCTATCATCCTTCTCTATGCCTTTCTTCCTCTCTCTGCCTTTTGCTCTCTCTGCCTTTCTCTATGCACTGTCTTTTTCTCTCCCTATGCACTTCTCTATCTCCCTTTTCCCCTATTCCTTTCTTTATCTTTATCTCTATATGCCTCTCACTCTCTCTCTCTCTCTCTCTCCGCCTTCATTTCTTTGTCTTTATATCTCTGCCTTTTCTCTCTTTTTTATCTCCCTCTTTCTCTGTGCCTTTCTCCATCTGCTTTTATCTATGTCAATTGTTTTGCAATTTCAGACCATTTGTCAACTCGGCATTTGCAGTTTGTGAATTTTGATTATTTCACGAGGAAACAGCGCTTGAGGAACCTGATGCCTTGTTTCATGTTTCATTTTTAATAAGTTAATATTGTATCGTATACGGCCATTGTTTACTGACATTTGGCGTATACTTACAGAAATATCAGCGATATATTCATTAAGACCAAGAATGACTGAAAAATGACCAGATAAATGCAACTTAACCGTCGAGATAGGGTAGTAATTTTCTGTTCAATATACGAAGTTTGTGTCAAAGAAACAGAATATTTCAAATGGCGAAGAAATTCTTCGATGACATTAGTATTGTTTAAAAGATTATCTATATCTGTAATTCTCAAAATGTGTGTGTATGTATGTATGTGTGTGAGATCGGATGTTGTTTATGCATTTCCACATTTTTTATCCGATTTTGATTAATTTTTTTTTGTTTGATAGATGATTCTTCAATTCCGGTTTTGAGTTTTGCTGAAAAAATTACAACCTTGATAGTGAAAAATCGAAAAAAAAAAACTAACTTTTTAGACTTTGCGCAAAAATCAAAGGCAAAATTTAATTTCGAATAAGGCCGTTTGTAGATATCCTGAAAAAAAAACAGTCTTTCGGTTCTGATAAACAAGGTTCTTTATTCATGGATAAGTAGCTGTCTTGGAATAGGAAAGTGAATCTTCAGTATTACTTCTGTCATCTCTCACAGCACACAAACGGACCAGGTCTTCCGTTCGGTCAGTGAGAATTCTGCTTCGATCTGACTTGGTATATGTTTTTTTTGCTTTGCTTGTAAATCTGACTCTCACTCACACTGGCCACGACCAGAATGCAGACTGACTATTTAAGTACATAACCTGAATTCCCTTCCGGCTAAGTGGCACTTGATCACGAAATTATCTATTTATTCATACAACCACTTTTCCCTATTTATGGATACCGGGTGTTTGCTTTGAAAATCTCACATGTCGGTTTTTTTCTAGCGGTGAAATGGATAGTCACAAAAGGCCCGTTGCTCTTGGTCCGGATAAAATCATTTATTTGACAATGTAGGTTTTTAACCAATCAAGAGAAAATCAATTGTGCTACAGAAATACCCCATTCTCAGTCATTAGAGACAATAAGAATGGCCGAAGAGATTATCTTCTGAAGGATGTGATGAAAAAGAAAACATGAAAATGATAATGTGAATAATTTATTTTAGAAAAAAGTCAGTACTGAAGCCAAAATCTCGACACACGATGACACATTTTAAAATAATTCAGTACATTTATATGGAAGACGATACCTTTCTTTAAGAATTCAAATTAGTTTAGATTAAACATTATCATTGGACAATTGGGAATTGTGGAATGATCAGCAAGATGGCCAGCGTTGAATAATTCAGGTAATTTTAGAGACGATGGCCGCTGGTGAAAAAGAATAATTGAAATATTGTCCGATTATGTTTGCATTCAAATTTCCTTCTCGCACGGCTTGAGAAATGTTTCCGCGGATCGAGGCGACGAATTACATTTCAGAAAGACATCGATGAATATTTAATTTATTCTTTATGACTTCCTTGATTTCTCTATGCCACTTTTTTTACGAAATAAACGAAACCACCAAATTCACTATCTTAAACGCCATATAAACCTACTTGGGGACTTTTAAGGAAATCTAAAATATGAGTTAGTATTTATTTTTGTCGAAAATATGTATTTAACAAGATTAAAATATGTGGTTATCACTTGTATATCTCTATGTAAAACCATTTCTGTTCGTGAACACTTTTACTTGAAATTTTCTGTAATTTCCTTTCCACAGCAAAACAAGTTTATATATATATATATATATATATATATATATATATATATATATATATATGTGTGTGTGTGTGTGTGTGTGTATGAAGAAATATAGCTTTAAGATGTGCTTTATTTATGGGATAAAGTGCTCAATATATAGAGATCTAGCGTGTGTAAATCTAAAAGTGAACATTAAAGTCAACACTTAGAGGCGACAGGCTGTTTCATGCTAGACGCAATCGTCGGGCCACGACGATTGCGTCTAGCATGAAAACAGCCTGTCACCTCTATTGAGCACTTTATCGCATAAATATAGCACACCTTAAAACTATATTGATTCATATATATATATATATATATATATATATACACACAATATACATATGCATAAACATACACATTACATATATTTATATATATATATATATATATATATATATATATATATATATATATATATATATATATATATAAAGGGGTTAAGTACTAGTTATTTCATTTTCACTAGTTGTTGACATATATATCCATGCTTTTCCACCAAGTAATTTTATCTCAAAAATATCTTATGCATATTATATTTGGGGTCGGCACATTTTCTTTCGTTACTCCTTTACTCCTTTGCTCAGATTGCTGCACCTTTCCGGTGCCTGGATCTACCCTGTACTCCTTAATTCTGTCATTGTTTTCGCATAAGCCTAACTCTCTAAATTTCTATATGTGAACTGTTGTCTTCATCTTTGTTGTTATTATCACAACGACAAGTCAATAGCCTTGTGGATTAACCCGTTGGTCTGAGAAATTGGAGACCTAATAATTGTGTGTTCAATCCCTAGGTCAGGCGTTTTGCACACTGGAAACAGGGTAAGCAACAACGAAGCAGTAATAAATAAAAACTAGATATTCTAGAGATGGTATGTGGAACGAGGAGGTTTACTTTGTTTCTGGGAATATTTTTCCTTTGTAGAAATCTATAGGTGGTCATATTTTTTCCAAAGAATCTATAGCTGTTTGTATTGCTGGTATTTTTTTAAAAAAGTATTGCTGATAATAATTTTTCCTTCAAAAAATATTGCTGGTAATAATTTTTTATTAATATCATTACAAAGTATTTCTGGTATTAAAACCTATTTTTATACAAGTTTGGGTGTTAAGTGTTTGTCCATAGCTGGGACCCTAACGTGCGAACACCAGCAATTAAGAGACTGTTTTACACTCCTCAAAACCTCCTGATCAGAGGCCTTACCCAGGACACGGATGTAGTTTATCGTCTTACCCAAGAGGCGGACGTATTTTATCATCATACCCAAGAGGCGGATGTAGTTTATCGTCTTACGCAGGAGGCGGATGTAGTTTATCGTCATACCCAGGAGGCGGATGTAGTTTATCCTCATACCCAGGACGGGGAACGAGGAAGGTCCGTAGATTGAACGCAAGGTTCATTTCTTGTAAGGGTTTATAGAGAGTGAGAGCAAGAGTAAAGAGGCGTGATAGAGGAAATGATGAAAGGAAGGGCGGGGACTTAGATCAAAGCATCTGAAGATGTCGTGTGACATTGCACTTAAATATTTGAAGATTATAGCCATCAGGGAACCAAGTAGGAGGAAGGGTGTTCCACACACAAGAAGTACGAGATGAAGCTACTGGAGTAGAAGAGACACGTACATTTAACAGTTTCGACAGTGAAAGGATGGGATTGAGGTCAGTTCAAAATTCCCTGGAGTTTGCCTAGGTCAATAAACCCCCCGAGGAAAACCGAAGGGTATATAGGCGGAAATGTTTTTATATATATTTTTGTTTTATTAACGTCCACCCCATACAAGGCC